GATCCAGACTCTAAGGATGTTTTTGGGCAGACACCGCTGTCATGGGCAGTGACAACGGGAAATGAGGCAATAGCCAACCTCCTACTGGCGAACAGGTCGAGTTGATTCAAACCAGATATGGGACCTAGACTGGCTGCTTGATACCCAATGCGCAAATCCATATTCGACCCACCCAATCCGCACTTTGGGTAGAATGAGGGTTGGCCTTGAGCCAACTCACCTAGATGTGGTCCGATCAACCCATATCCAATCAACGACCAGTCTAATGGGGACACACTGCTGTCATGGGCAGTAGCATGTCGGTGCTATGACGGACTATTTATAGGCGCAGTGGCTAGATGCCTGTGTGGTCTCAAGCACTATTCTTCACACATTCTCAAGCATTCAAACTTTTGTTTCCGTCTTCCAGAGTTAGTGATCAGAAAATAGTAATATACCAAACTAGACTGAAGATAAAGAAATAGAGGGAGTATGGCCATGTCTATATATTCCCTGCCTGTCTCTGTGACTTTGTTAGCTTCCATCTCAGACTTCCAGTGGTGGTTTGCTAAGTGCGTTGGTCTGTGATATCTCTTAATATTAGCAGTAGTATGTGCTTGTGCAATAAATGGTTGCCTGATTACGAGCCACTTAACTGACTTGGTAAATTAAGCACTGAACCATGATCCATTCTGTTAATCAGGAAGCACACGCATACTAACTAATGCAACCCATAGTACTCTTGAGATCGCTGTGAATTGCTTCATACCTATTCCACCGCTTCAGCTCAATCACCCAATGAGCCACCAGATCATCAACAACTTTAACTGAGGTACTCGATGAAGGTCCAGAATCCGCGAAAGCCTCACTGGCGCAGATAGCCCTGCGCTATTTTGTAATGCTGACGCTTAGCATAGCATCTACTGAAGCTGGAGGAGAACAGGATCTTACCGCGGCAGTTAAATAATGATTATATTAAAATGGAGTGATTAGTGCGCCTCTATCTAGTAGTTTGCTTTTCTAGGTAATACTGCGCCTTTGATTTTGGGATATATAAGATGCGCAGAGGAGAATAATAAGTCTTCCTATGGCATACGTGCGCAAGCTATGACATCAAAGACATGATAATCTGACAGATCATTCAAGACATTGTCTTCAGATCTTGCTTTGCCACCCTTTGTTTTGACCTATCTTTGCCAGTACATTGTTGAATCGACGGACAGCTTCGCCATAGCACTCGGCCTTGAGGTACTCCGATGCCTTTGGTTGTATATCATTAAATGATATCTTGCTCAGGAGGAAATTGATCCTAGGCTATTTTACAGGAGGTGCAAAATGCGAGGATGTAACCCACCATTCTTTAGCCCAATGGGGCCTAAATATCTACCTAGTATTTATCACCAGTCCTTATCGTCATTCCGCCACCTCTGGCCTCTTCGAAATTCAGAGACTATTCAACTTGGTGACTTTATTACTGCGCTGTTCCCTGGCCAGTATACAAGATGCAACTGTTGCTCACATTATACCCAGAGAGCAATGCTGAATAGCGACGTGATAACAACGGGCAGGCAAAACGAGAGACTGAGATTGGCATGACGTCGGGACATCCAATTCATGGAGCATGGCAAAAAGTCAATGACGGCTTTTGATTGCTGATCAGAGACTCGGAGGCGAGGAATTTAGGGCCATTTCTAGCTCTAGATGTCTTGCGAATGAATTGCTTCTGCGGCGTCGAATACTTTGCGCCCAGATGCCTTCCAAGTCTGTGCCTACTCTGTTGAAAAACCTACGTCGAAAATTATTCGCATTGGGGCATTGTGCAGAGAAGAAGAGGCACAAAGCTCGGGAATCTTGTTAATCTTGGAATTGTTATGCTCCGGGAACAAGTACTGCAATCAAAATGTCATAACCTGCCAGGCATTTACATTGCATGGGTGTTCATCATTCCAATTACATATACTATCAACAGGCTGTGCATTGTAGCAGCTGGAAAGCTACAGAAAAATCGGGGAGCGTCCTGCACTTACACCCACCAGTCAGTTTTTGAAGTTCACCGCGCAGTATGCAGTGGTATTTAGAAGCAGTCCAGCTACCTTAGGAGGAGAAAGACTTTGTAAATGGGGCAAGCACTTTTTGCTCTTTGTTAGGGTTTAGGTCTTCCGATGATAGATTCAGTGTGAAAGAATACACAGTACTCCAGCTCCCAAGTGATGACATTGCTGATTAAGGCGGAGGAATGACGTGTAGAGTTAAACCGATGGATATGACCTCACCAGAAGGTATGTCTGCCACTGAAGATAAGCTACTATACTCTACGAGGCTTCCCATGTCATGGAAATCTACAAGGCATTGGCAGAGGTAATGATGACACAGTCCATTGGTTTCTGAGCTTGAAGAAATGCTGGTGTATATTTCATGAACTGACTGCTGGGCAAGTATATACAAGCTAGGTACAACCATACATTCATGAACGACGATCTGAGGTAGAGAGTAGAGAGTAGAGACTTATCCCGGCCCTTCGGAAGGGGCTTTATTGGAAAGAGAGCCATAACCTTTCATGCCCGTAGGCAGCCAGACCCTGATCTATGTGTATTGAAATCTGTACTCCACCGAGGTCACTGATGACGCCTGCGCCATGCACAACAATGTCGTAGGATGAAGTCGCATTCAAGAAGGCTTCACAATCGGCATCCTGTCTTTGGAAAAGGAGTGCACCAATTCCCGCTTGACCGTCCGATAATCATCGAATGATTCTTCGTATGTTTTGAGAAGTTGCCGTTTCTCTTTAGATGAGAGATTACTCCCCCACGAGTCCGCAAGGTTTGCCGTTGACTCGTTCTTATTTCTCGGGGGCCAGGAATGACAGAAGATCATTGGGAGTCCGTGGTCATCGTGACAATGGCCATCATGGTAGGCGTCATGCATTGAAATAGGTGCTGATTCGGCCTCGAAGACACATTTCTCGGATTCTCTAGGGTTCGATTTAGGAGCGTGGGCGAATAGGCCGCTCTTTGCAAGATAGCTGAAATCCCACGTCATTCTGCTCGAGGTGAAAACGCGGGGAAATTATATTCAAGACAAACATTCATAGGAGGCTTATAGCTGGCTTAGCTAGTAGACTAGTGTTTCGAAACAGAGAAGCTACAGGGCTTTTAAGCCTAAGCTAGAGAGGGAACTATCCCAGTCTAAGCTGTCAACATAGCTTTCCTGGATGCAAATTAGAGAATCATCATTCCATATCTAACTTAAAGATCCAGCTAAAAACTGATCTTAATGATTCATAGAATGCTACAATCGGGTATGCCGCAGAGATATGCTGTTTCTCCTTTGGGGGAAAAAAAAAAAAAGAAAAAGAATAAAAAGTAATAGGATGGCCGGGAGCTCCGTATGATAGGTACTACCACTCACAAGGGTCCAGATCATGAACATGCATTGGCCAGAAAGCTTTGAGTTGAATATCGCTGAAGCATGTTCTGCCACATCGAGGGAGAAAGTGTGAGGGTCATTCTCTAAATGGTGGCTTGAACATACCTCCAGACATTCCAGCAAAGAAAGTTCGTCATATCCATGGTACCTTCTCTAACGGCTGTGTTTTCCAGCCGCTTTAAGCCAATGCGAACTTTTCGGGTCCTGGACTGTCACTTGTGTTTCTCGTGTCTGGGCTTGCAACATTGGGTATATTAGTCGATTGTGCCTCTACATAAGCCACAACTTGATAAGCTGCATCACAGAGAACCTAAGCATGCATTTAGGCATGTATGAGTATCGCATTGAGCCATTTTCAGGACCTGAAGAGGGTAGGCCGTCGATTCCCTTCAGAACCGTCCGGTTTCAGATAGTAGAATGTCAAGTCATCTGATAGAATGAGATCCCTACGAGAATATGATTGGAAATCGCTGAATCGCTGATTCTGATGAGGATTGTTAACGAACCTGGAACCCAATCACAGCGCTTCTCTGGCTTCGGCCCTTCCTCTCTTCCTCACTACACGTTCGGTCGGTGCTTGTCGGTGAACACTCCATCCAACCAGTATCTGAGTAATCAATTGCCCTATGGTTACAGTAAGGAGTCACGTAGCTTCAATCCAGGACGACATTTGACATTTGGAATGACACGCGATATTGAGCCTCATTGGTCGAAGCCCCAACTTGTCGAGCGTCTATTGGACGGCTGAGGTTTCCGGCCATAGTTGGTTAGGCGCATGTATACCGCCACCCATGGAAATCCAACGTTGCTGGTAACTGTCAACCTTATCGGAGAGCTTCTTATCTGCTGAGCGGCAATGCCAGAATGTCGACCATTCTGTTCTTCAACGCCTCACGTTCGGTCTGGCTTGAGTGCTATTGGTTAGCATTCAGCATGATCCCCGGTTAATCACTGGCACATGTCGATCCCCAGGTAGACCTAATGACACATGGCGTCATGAAGCCGAATAGGATTTCTCAACATCACTTCTGTGGCAATACTTTTGTATATGTATCTATCGTCCACGGCTATGGAGTTGTGTTCTCTCCCCTATTCAAGCTCTTAAGAAATTATTTTAGATCAACTTTCTGCTTACAACTATGAATATGTGATCTAAGGAAACTGCCTTGTTTTGAAATCATTGCCTACTGCCATCAGAATGAATTATTACAGCAGAGCCAGTGCTTCAATATCGTGGCCTTTTCAAAGCAACAATAGCGTTTGCTTCCAGCAGAGCTCTGGTATGGCTACATATCCCGACATACTATCGGGTCCTCAGGATGATAACAATACCATTGATGCATTTCAACTGAGGAGCATGCTGCCAGAGACTGTCGCCGAAGATTCCACCGGCACTATGGTACTGGACTCAGAAGACATCTTCCCTGACGAACTATCAGGACCTCCAGAAAATATCAAGTTCCCTACTTATATCAGTGCATTTAGGGAACCTGCCGTCTCGTCTGATCTCCCACCATTAGTAAGTTATCCACTTAATCCAGTCCATCCTTTCTTCTGTTCTAACGTGTGATATGATGTAGGAGGTCAAAAGTAAGACCCAACTGTGGTCACCAACTTCTTGCGCGCAACAATCAGATCGAGCCTCATCTGACAATTCAACCTCAGACACCACCGCACCAAGCACCTCAACTGATTCCACGAGTCGCATAGCCAATACCAAACATAAAGCCCATAACCAAACGCCACAGCGGTCAAGCCCCAGGACCGTTTCACAACAAGATCTTTCTCTGATCACTGGCGTACTCTCTCCATCGCCCTCGTCAACTCCTACCACCAAGAAAAGTGGAACCTCATCTACTGATTCTCAAACAATCAAGGGCCGCAAAGCTGCCAAACGGGCATCCCATAATATCATTGAGAAGCGGTACCGCACCAACATGAATGCCAAGTTTACCACCCTAGAAAAGGTCGTCACTAGTTGTCGGAACAAACAGAAGGTCTCCAATAACAGGCCGTGCTCGATGAAGAAGTGTGAAATCCTCACTAGCGCAATTAAGTGTATTCAGAACCTGGAGGATCGGAATGCTGCTCTGAGTGAGGACGTGGCGTTCCTAAGGGAGCAGCATCATCTGCTTGGTGCGATCTGAGGCCTGTCAGACAGCCGTCTTGCCATGCTGGTATCAGGGTTTTGCGTTTTTCAAAACACTGTATAGTAGGGATTTGGCGTTGCAATTGTATTTGTTGATTTGACTTAGCGGTTTGTCGTACATTAATATTATCTTAATCTGATAATCCAGGAATACGTTAACCTGGCAACCCTCCTCATCAGCACTTGGCCTAGGAGCGGCTATGAAGAAATTAGACTCTCTAAGCTCTACTAATAGGTTAATGTTCTAACCTTAATGCGGAAAGCCTGAAGAACCTAAAGAGATTAGCCCTGGCTCGTCCCAACCTGCGTCATCAAAGAACGCCTACTGGCTACTGTACTTATACCTGGCATGACTTCTCAAAAGGGGCGAGACTAAGCAAGTTCACTCTCAATATATGATACCGAATGAGATTAAGGCATTGAAGAATTTCAGATATGAGACCATAATTAAGGAGACCTTGACGTTCAGCAGCAGCCGCAGCAGAATATCGAGTTGATATAGGGTTTAGACGTGTCATCGGCAGTTACTCATTTCCGTTCCAATTTGTCAATAGTCACTCTCCACTCTTCTGCAGGTAACGCTACGAGATTATATTGAAGAGAGATGATATCCGGGGGAGAGAAAAGTCCCAGATCCAATGTAATCATAGTCTAAAATCAACGGTGTTTTGTCTTGAAAAACTGTGGCTTACCTGTTGCGTACAACCCGACTTTCGTACTCTGCAGCTGGCACTGGGCCTCAGACTCGAATCATACGCCCTCAAATAAGAAATTTCAAGTGTAATAGAGTGAGTAGATACTCTTTATCCTATTATGGTAATGTAGGATTTGACCTTCGTTCTTGAAACTGTAGTAAATGATATAAATGCATATATACAAAGATATAAGCACTTTCTAATGTACTACTACTCCCTATACTTCATAGATTTAGGCAAATTCTATCTAACTATTATGAGTCCTAAATCACTACTACCCAGTTGCCGACTACCTATACCGATTTTCAAGATAGATTATTGGTATTGTGTGATTATGCGGCGGTCTCAGTCTACAGCAGCCTCTATTTTATATGGTCTTCTGCACCTAATCATGGGTAGGACAATGAAAGCATTCAAATAGAACCCCAAGCATGGAAATGAGCAAAGAAGTGAGAGTGGATGTATAGTATAGGAGGATAAGTATGGCTGGCATAAATTACCAAGCTGCAAAGACCAGACTAACCTTCACAGATCTAATGCGTCTCTTCTGTATAGGAGCATGACAACCACACAGGGCAAAGCCAGCCTCTAGGCCCATCACAAAGGCAGCCAACATGATCACCTGGCGTCAACCTGAGAAGGATCACAAAACATATTTCCATATTAAGAGACTCCTGGAGATCTCCACTCTTTGATGTTCAACGGCCCGCCATTATTATTCTTATGGGTTTGGCGTTCGGAGTTTGGCAACAGTCAACAGTTAACCGACTATACCAACTAATGTTTAACAGTTTCTTATTACCAATAGCAATACTCTACGACCAGTCTGGACCAGCAACGAGAGGGGCTCCAACGCATGTCAAGTATGTCTGACATGTGAGCTGCAGCGGCCGAACGGTGAGCCGAAGACTTGCCTGGACAGATACATAGCCGCGGTGTGCTGCGCGGTACCGCCCCTCTATACTTGATCCACAACCCCTCGGGATCCCATCTGTGTGTTCTTGATCATAACAATTGCGGTGGTTGGCCAACTTTGCTTGCCAACAGTTGACTGCTAATCGGATAGAAAGAATAATACGAAGGGAGCACCTTTCTTCTCGAAGAGTCCAAATCCCAAGTCCAACGGCCAATTGGAAGCGCTAACCTTTCGCGGCAAAAATATAGAGGAGAGCGGGTTGCTCCAATCTGTTACATAATCTCGAGTCGTTTGCCCAAGCTGATGGGAAATTCCGGAGAGCGCCGGTTCGGGGCCTGTCCGTGCAGTCGGGGGCACTGACCAATGGGAACGTGTTTGGTTGCCTGAGCCAATCAGCTCTCTGCGATAACAAGATCAAAGAACCTCCAATTCCAAGGCGACGCCAAGAGCCCCATCGAGACCGCTTGCAGGATTGATTGGTTTCCACCCTTGGGTTTGGACGCCACAACAAATTGGCCAGGTAGCAGTGCCCAATAGATAGGGTAGCAGCCCGTCGTAGTATGCTGGAAGTGGGATGGTTTCCTGGCTCGTGACCACACCGCTAGACAATGGTTTGGGAACCAGACCGATAAGGACGGGATACTCAAGGAGAAAGGGGGATCGACCTCCAGCATCATCCTGTCGTCAATGTTTGTCATGAGGCTACTTGCAGTATGCATCGTACATTTGATACAAGAAACTGTAGGTATGGAGCAGTTGATCCTCTTCAGTTATGGGTATGGAGCATTTGCTGCGTCCCTACTCGTGAACTACTCCATACAGGGTAAGAACATCTCGGTCAAGGTGGCCACTGTGGGTCGTCGTCGCATGTGGAATTTTGGAGTAGCATCCAATCAGAGTAACCGTTTGTCATCTTAGTCTTGACTTCGGTCTGTCCTTTGGGATCTGGATCCATCTAACGAAAACCAGAGAGCTAGCATCACAAAAGCAGCCTATGAAGTACTTCAGCCTGTACGGTGGCGGGCTGGAGATTTGGAGATGGAACATCATCGCCATCATCCACAACGTAACAGTGGAGACGACAGTCGAAGATGAGCTGAGGATTGCCTGAAGGGGCAAGAAGTCATGCTCATGCTCCTCTTGAAGTCAGAGGCATACCTCACGGGGCTTGCCACTTGCATCAAGACCAGACCAGGGAAGGGAGTGACGACCAAACAGATGGCAATGCGAATCAAGAAGAAGCGGTCAACAGTAGCTTTGATGTCCAGCAGCTAAAGTTGTCATTAACTCATTATGACTCGAAGTGATTTGCAAGGGAGAGGATGCGATACGGGAGGATGAACACTCTACCCCAAGATTATCGGAGTAGATAGCTAGGAGATAGCAAATTAGCCAGTTGACGGGCTCGCTGATCCTGGGCATGTCGGCAGAATGTCGCATCCCGTCCATGATTTGCTGCCTTTCCTCCAACCGGAATCCCACCTGAGGCGACTCTGCCATACCGCTTATTTGGATGAAACGCGAAGCCTCCCCCAGAAGGAATGAAGGGTCACCCATCTACTCCGGACTCCTATCTTCTCTGTATCTACTCCATACTACTAATTAAGAGATTATCAGGAAGAATTATGATTATCCATGAATGAGATTCATAGCTCGACTGTCATTTAGATAGATTACAATCCTCCGGACCCGCAGAATGCTGAATGTCAGCAGCTAAACTGTAACACTAATAGAAATTAATCCGGTAGACTAGCTAACTACAGGAGGCTAAGGAAATCCCGAAAATCAGCCAAAACAGAACGGCCTCGGTAAAAGGCCGTTCTCGATCAAGTACGGATAGACACCAGTACACTATTCTTCCGATGGCTGGTTTTCGGGATTCACCCATAAACGCCGTATTGGAGGTTGAGACAACAATACAAAGTATTGTCTTCAAGATCATGATGCAGATGGCTAAAACCATACATCATAGCTTTATCGTCTTCATCGTTTTGGGATGATATCCATGTATAGATCCTGCAACCATGAATCTTATATGCTCCATGGGCCACTCAGCGTTGTTCACCATTCGTTCAATGCCGTCATGATTATGTTCCTTTGGAGTAGTTTATTAGGTTGGCCTTGGTACTAGAAGAGACATACTTTACAGCGTATCTAAGGGAAGTCTGTAAAGGCAAGAAAACCCGTCCGTCCAACCGGCCCACGGTGATTAGCATCCATTTCCTCTAGTTAGATAGCTGTTAACAAATAACGTGGCAGGGATTCGTTTCGAGCGATCCCCATCTCCATCGTCCATGCCTCGTCCTTGCTCCACTGTGTTTCTTTGGAATTTCTAGCCTCAAACCTAACCTGTTAGTGTCTTTCGGTATCCTCCACAGGGCAGCAGAATAATACTACTACGGGGTACTAATAATAATAATTAATACTACGTACTGAGAAGACTATCTACTAAGCATGGCAAAAAAAGCGGTCCCCTCCATTCCGCCGTTTCGAGTACCGTTGCCTCTTTCCCCGGCTAGTAATTTCTCTTCTGGCTGTTCCATTCTTCCATCCGGGACTTGGCTCGTTCCCTGGGATATCCTTATTAGTACTCGGCCTCGCCCAGATCTATACTACGGCTTTGCTTTTCTTCTCCTTATCTGTGCAGTAAGCCATTGTGAGCAAGGTACATTCTTCTGCTATATCCATCCAACTAGCTTTTGATCAATCAAGCGCTTATCTTTTTGCATATCCCTTGTATCCCATACATCATAAATCATCCTTCCGATTTGCATATACTGCTTCTTGCTTGGACCTCCCATTATTCTTACTGGTCGCTACTGTGTACAGTGAGCGATGCTTGTCTGCTGCCATTCAACAAGACTTGCGACCACCATTCACCACCCCTAAACCAGCGTGTATTCACTGCTTTTGATAAGCGTATTGCTACTCGACTCTCCTCTCTTCCGCCATTATTTCAGTGTTCCCTCTTCTACAACTCTCTGTTTGAGATCACCCACATTTACGATTCTCGGTCCCCTTACGAAATAGACACAAACTAGAGATCATGGCCACTCACGTTGTCACTACCACCACTATTTCTCCTCTATCTGCCAACCAGATCTCTGTTTACGGCCATCCTTCTCCTGTCAACTCGGCTTCCGCCACCCCTGCCAACAATTCTCCAACTTCCCCCCGTCTACAGCATCTTCCTTTGCAGTGTCGCCAGTTGCGGCCTCTCAAGGGTCCATTGTACGTTCCCGCTGCCCTGCGTCCTACCGAACGCCCTCAGAAGTCCTCTCCCCCCACCCCTCCGCGCAGTGCGCACGGTTCTCTGGACAGTTTGAACGACGAAGAACCTAGTACGCTCCTCAGCCGTCGTTCGACCATGGAGAGCAACTATAACAACACCATCAGCAAGCTCGCTGAGAACGAGTGGATGAAGACGGAGCACCTTGGCCAAGTTACTGGTCTTCCCACCAGAGAACACTGGAAGGTTAGTATTCTTTCCTGCTTTTCTTGAGTCTCGAGAGGGATATTGTGGGATATATACCCCTTACACCCACGCAAGAATCCCCGCAAATGGCGTGTAAGCTCGTCATCGCATGCGATGGCGTGACTTGTCCTTTTATCCTACTGGGACTGTTTTTGTGTTATGCAATGAGCAAAAAATATTGACAATGCTCCTTCACAGGCGGACGCTGCTTCTCCCAACTGCGACTCACCCACCTGCCGCTCATCTTTTGGCCTCTTCTTGCGTCGTCATCATTGCCGCCACTGCGGACATGTTTTCTGCTCCTCTCACACTCCGCATATGGTGCCTCTTGATCAAGATGCTCGCTTCCACCCCGAAGGAGTTCTTTCTCGCGCCTGCGATCTCTGTTGGAGCGCTTACCAACGCTGGGAAGAGGCTCGCACTGAGCGTTTGAACAAGATCCAGACTCTCTTGACTCAGCAGGAGACCACTAGCAATAGCAACCAAGACACCGAGTCTGCCATCAACGCTACAGCGGGCTCCGACACTCCGCAGCAGGACGATCTTTCGAACAAAGCCACCAATGCTCCTCAGGGCCAGGCTACTGAGATCGCTGCCAGCGTCCCCCGCGGATGGAACTGGAGCACCTTCTAATCGGATCACTGATATACGCTCTACGACAGTCCTACATTTTCTGCATATGCATGTCATCTCCGGATTCATTCTCTGAATCTGTCCTCATGATCTTTCAGCGAGGTCTTTCTGACCATAATTTCGGTCAATTTCGGTCATCTGCGCGGAGTACTGGGTTTTCATTCCGGGTTCTTGCCTTTTCGTTCCCTTTCTTTTCTCTCCGCATAAGTTCTTCATGCGACTCATAGAAAGGGTTCTTGTCTTTATTGTTCAGACTCAGGATACCCCGTCATGCTCCTTTCTGAGCGGCGATATGTTTCAATTCTCATGGTTCACGGCGCTTACGAAGGAATGGCGTGGTTATCACAATATTTTCGCTTTCAATCAGGGTACCATAGATGGTTTTCTAATACATTACAATGATTCTCTATCTACATATAGTTTCGCTTCCATCCGTAAATCGCACCTTAAATCTACGAATGAGGCTCTAAGTCGATCCTCTTCCACATCCCTACATGCTCAATCCCCTCCTCATCCCACCTCCCCATCTTCTCATCCGTCACAAACCCAAACCGCTCATACATCTTCTCCCCCTGCACCTGCGCATGCACCAGCACCAGCCCTTTCCACCTCAACTCCCTCCCCACCACCCGTCGACACGCCTCCTCAATCTCCTTGACATGGCCCCTCGCCCACCCCAACGCCTCATCAACCAGTCTCCGCCCCAGCCCAAGGCCCCGGTACTCCCTCAAAACCGCCACCCTCGTCAACTTGATATACGGCTCATGCGTAGTATCGTACTTTGGCAGTGACGCATCAGTACCGGGGTTCGTGACGAGCTCATGTGGTGCCTGCGGCGGCGGGACGAGCCGGATCACTGCTATAGGGGTCTTGACGGCGTTGCTGCTATCGTATATCACCCATTGCCAGCTGCGGGGGTCATCGTCGTCGATCTCGGCTGAGGCGGGGACGTGCTGTTCCTCGACGAAGACCTTGAGGCGGATGGTCATTGCGTCGTTGAAGATTTGGGGGTTTGTCGGTGGGAATGGGTTGGAGGGGGAGGGGAGGGTGAGGTCCAGGCCTGGAGGAGGTTGGAGTGAGACGGTGAACGATTTTGGGTTGGAGTCCACGGTCATTTTGATGTGCTGTGCGTCGAGGTGGGGGAGGAGCGATGCAGTCAGTGTAGATCCTTTCAATTGATAGAATGAATGCCTTAATTGATTCGGTTGAGAGGTATGGATGAGAGCACTGAGGGTAAGCTTATCAGTCGCTATCAGGAGCAACGGATGCAAACAGCGCAAATAGTGCAAACATGGCTGGATTTTCCTGCATCATATCCAGCTTGTGATTATTCTACAAGTCAATTACACTACCACAGCGACAAATGTCTCTTTATTACGACGCGGTCTCCGTTCTGACCGCCCCCTCATCGACGGGGGGCTCCTTCAAATCCCGCATCTACAGCTCGCGGAACCTCAAATCCTCCCCGGCGCAAATCTACGCTCTGGTCATCGAGGCCTCGAAATGGGATATCCTTCTGAAAGAGGTCATTGAGGCCGCCGGAATACTCAAACAGGAGCCTAAGGTAGATACAACCAGCCTCTGTCTACCGTAGTAGATATTTCCTGCTGACTGACCGAGACCTTTGGTTGACCAGCTCACTCCCTTACTTGCCCTACTGCTCGTCCACGACCACCTCCTCGCCAAGAATGGCATCGCGGCGAACGCAAACCATCCACTCCGCCAGGCGATTGAGAGACACAAGACTCGACTAAAGGGGGAATTTGCCAAGGCGCGCGTGCGCCGCGGATGCGCCTCGATACCCGATTTGAAGGCCGCCGTGCTGCGCGAGAAACAGGCCGCGCAGGGCGCGCTCGGAGCGTCTTCGACGGCGGTGTATCCGCGCTGGGTGCGGATCAACAATCTTCGCACGACGATGGAGGAGCAGCTCCAGTCTACATTCAAGGCGTATACCAGAGTCAACTCGCTGGCAGAACTAGGGGAGAAAGACCAGGTCAAGCTGTACGTTGACCCGCACGTGCCGGATCTGGTAGCAGTTGCGCCAGGCGTGGACTTCACCTCGTCCCCTGCGTACAAGAACGGGCGGATTATCTTGCAGGACAAGGCGTCGTGTTTCCCGGCGTATCTGTTACTCGGGGATAGCGAGGAGTGGTCCGGCGATCTGCTGGATGGGTGCGCGGCGCCTGGAAACAAGACGACGCACATGGCTTCGTTGCTTGCGAAGCATGCTGCCGGCAAGGACATCACCCGCCACATCTTCTCCATGGATGCTTCCAAGGTGCGGTCCAAAACATTACAGAAAATGGTTACCGCCGCAGGGGCAGACGATATTGTCACCGTCCTTCAGGGCCAGGATTTCCTGGCGCTCGACCCCACCGAGGACCGCTTCGCAAACGTCACCGGCCTCCTCCTCGACCCCAGCTGCTCCGGTAGCGGGATCGTCGGCCGCGACGACGTGCCCAAACTCGCCCTCCCCGCTGCCGCATCCACACCGACTGCCAAATCACAGGGGAAGAAGCGTAAACGCAGACACGACGACGAGGAGGAGTCTCACCCCGGAAACATCGCGTCACCCCCTGCTTCAGCGTCAGCCACAGATGAAAACGAATTCGCGAGTGCAACCCTCGACCCGGATCGTCTGACGAAACTCTCCAACCTGCAAGCGCGCATCGTCGAACATGCGCTGCGCTTCCCGGCCGCCACCCGCGTCACGTACAGTACATGCTCCATCCACCTGATAGAGAACGAGGCGGTTGTATCTCGCGTACTCGCCTCAGACGTAGCGCGCTCTCGCGGCTGGAGGATCATGCGACGCGAGGAACAACCCCGCGGCATGAAGGCCTGGCCGCATCGCGGTGTCAGGACGGAGAGCCGATACGGCGATACGAAGGGCAATGGAGACGGCGGGGCTCCTGCTCCTGCTGTGGAGCTATCCGATGAAGAGCTAGAGGCTTGTTTGCGGTGTTGGGCTGATGACGAGGAGGGTCTTGGTGGGTTTTTCGTCGCGGGGTTTGTGCGTGATGAGGAAAGCGTAGACCGTTCTACTACGGAAGCGCCAGTGTCTCGGGATACGGATGAGGATACCGAAGCCAGTGATGAGGATGAGTGGGAGGGTTTCTCTGATTGAGAATCTCCTGTGTTATGTCTGGGACCAGCAGCTTACTACAAAGTGTATATAGCTTTTATCGCTAGAAGTAGACAAGCGTCATCAAGAACCCAAAAATTCCCTAGAGCGATTCCTCACCCTCTCCTCGGTGTAAACATCCAACTTGACCGCTATCAGAACCAACTCCGCGCTCGCTGCGAGACCAGACTCAACTACTAAACGCCACTGTCCTTTCCTCACTACCAGGCTCCCAGACTCCAGATCCTCCTCTACGCGCTTGCGTTTCGCAGGTGGCCGCTCGGAGGATTCTGCCGTCCCGCTAGGAAAATCTAGGCGATCTACAGTCTGCCCGTTGAGGATCAGCTCGGTCTCGCGCTCGAATCGGATCGAGAAGCTGTCTCCGCCAGTAGAGGAGTGTGCCGATTCCCCAGTCCTGTACAGGGGGCCCTCAAGGCCGACGCTTTTGGCAATGATCTGGGCCAAGCTCGACATGCGGGCTTTCGCCAGATTGAGGAACCCCGCGCGCATGGCGCGTGCATCGAGAATCGTACTTTCGTCGCCGATTTCCAGGATTAGATCGTGCGGCGTCTCGTCTACAAAAGGGCGCGCGTACGTCACCCGGTCGCGAGTTGTGGAGCCGGTGTCCCTCGAATTGTCATCGCGTGCATGGCGGATGCCAGACGGCCGCACATCGTCTAAGCGAATGACGATCTCTGACCGTTGTCGGATAGGATTGAAGCTGATGTGGTGTGGGATGAGTTTCTGTTCTAGGCCGCGGAGGTGGAAGTAGCGACAGTCGCGGAGAAGTTCGGCGCGATGCTCCTCATTATTGATCTGGAGGGGGTATCCGCGAAGGAGATGGAGGAGTTGTGCGAACACGTCGCCTGAGCGGTGGGTAACGCGTGGGGGGACGATGGCGGGCGGGCGTAGCAGACCGTGACGGTCTAGGCCGGGGAAGATCTCGCTCGGGTTGGCGAAGAAGATGGCGAATCCGAGGGAGAAGAAATTGGGGGAGTCTCCGGGTCCGGAGAAGATGTCGCGCGAGATTTGGAAATGGCGTTCGCCGATTTGGATGAAGATTTGGGATTCGAATAGCTGGGAGATCAGTCGGGGTACTGCGAGAATCAGTCTTCGTTTTTGAGAACGCAACAGATAGCAATGGACTCCGTACACGTGTAGAATTGGGCGTCCGCGAACAGTTTGACAAATTGCGACTCATCCTTGGGTTCTACATGATAGCCTGTGACACGTTAATTCTAACCTCCGAAAGACTGGTCGCGTTTCATCCTACCCTGCAGATGTCTGGCAATCTCTCGAAACGTTTCTGGATCTCGGTCAATGTATAGCGTCCGGATAGTCGCGTTCTCTCCGTTCTGGCGCAATTGTTCTTCGAAGAACTGGGAGAAATAGGACGGGGCTCCAGGACGTTTAGCACGAGGTCATTATAGGCGCGAACACTTCAACTGACCATCGGAGGCGATCGACGCCCCGGAAAGACGAAAGAGCTCGGTCCCGATTTGGATCGAGAAGACCTTTTCGGGCGGCAGCGTGGACTTGACCTTTGTGGCAGGGGAACAACGTTGAGAGTCGGAGTCGGTGCTGGCCATGTTCGGCGTCTTCTCCTTATTCGGTCACCTATATGTCCTCCCAGTACTCATTGACGGCTCGACGAGCGAGGTCGCAGTGCTTGGTTCAGAAAATATGTGCGGTCGGTCAACTTGCGCGTTGTTTACCTAACAATCAGAGTTGTGTCAGGCTAAAGATCGTCATGCGAGTGTCCAGAAACACTGAAGTGACCCCTGGATTGCGCATTGGCGTTAGTGACTGGAGACGACAATGATGTGGATGTGTTCAACTTACGCCTGATAGCACGAACAAATCAATTCAATCCATAGATGCGGCTATTCATCGAGGATGGACGCGAGCACCTGTGTGAGTGAAGAGGTCTCTGTGGTGGGCGATGACGGGCGCTTGAGATAAGGCACGCGCGACCGCAAACTGGATGTGGCTCGTGGATGTTGCCTGACTTGGAGCATGAGATGGCTTCCTGCAGGATCATTCTTTTCATTTAAAAGTACAGTATACTTGAATCAATCATGTCAGTCAGTAACTTATTATGACTTCGCTCTATACAATCACTACTAGAGGGGTTACATCATTTTCTAGTCTGAGATACTCTACGGACTCAATACGAACAAGAGCGCGTCGTCATCAACCGCTCGATTAAGCACCATATGATAGACATCTCAGCATCACAGTCTATTAATACCGATCGGCAAGCTGCTTTCTGACGCCCAATTGAGTGAAAAAAAAACACGATTCTCTTGTTGAGGGTGAGGGACAAATGACGAATCCATCCTTGAAGCTTCGAGAGCATCAACTCAAATCCGGAATCCAGGGAATCAATCGTGTCCAAATCGATCAATTGCCCTCGATTCGAAGAAAGTGACAGCTGAAAGGGAAATCAGATGTCTCTCTGCTTGAAATAGAAATGTCTCCCTTGAAGATGTTCACATGGAGACCCCGGCCAAACGGTAATGGATCTCGGCTCAGCGACGGTCGATCGTTCCCCTTCCCCGCACATCTCCAGACTCATCATTTGACTGTTCTTTGGGAACGAGGAGACTGATAGGTCTTCTAAAGAGCTATGGCGTTAGCTAAGGCCCCTCTCTGGAAAATGTGTCCCCAAGAATGGCCGATCCTCCCCTCAGTCCACTTATTCGATAACCCTTTCTGCTATTTAGACTCTCGAAGCCTCGACCCACAACATCCTAAGCTCAGTCAACATCATGGCCACTGCCTCGGTTTCTAGCTCTACGGGATTGTTGGAGCAGATCTGGTTTGAGACGGCGAGCAGTACCTACAATAAACCTTGACAGGCCACTGAATCATCCCACTCGGAATCGCCAATAACAATCCTAATGATTGGAAGGGAGGGCTGGACCGGGTTCTGGGCTAGTTCGCAAGCATTACTCTTCTGGGCGGGGCAGTTCGTGCCTAGGAAAGAGCAAGAGCAAGCTACCTACCTACGGCTCCTGAACATCTATTCTGAGCAGCCACCACTCCTAGGTTGAAGGAGGAAAGCATCACCAGGACGTTGTTTATCATCACGCCGCCCCGCTGTCTTTCTTCGTGTTTTGCTCCACATCCAAGTGCGGTCGGTTCTTGACGGCCTTGTTCCTCGTCCCGGTTGACAGCTATTACTCTCTGCAGGCTTATTCTACCTATATATTCCTCGTTCTCGAAGCAACTACTTATTACTACTCTTCGGCTGTGTTCACCATGGCTGAGCAGGCTGTAACTGCCTACGTCCCCCTGGACGTGCCTCTTCCACCGATTCCTGAAGGCCAAGTCTTTTCCGACTTGCAATGGAAAACGTTGTTGTCTCTGGCAGACACCGTGATTCCTTCCATTCGTTCTACATCACTTCCTAAGTCACTCTCTACCAAGGTGGTAGCTGAATCGACATTCAAGGACGCTGTCTCGACTCTGGCATCTCACATCCACGACCCAGACGCCACAAAAATTGCTGAACAGTATCTGGAAGAGAATGCGTCCACCAACCCCCAGTTCGTGGAGGGGCTGCGGCGACTTTTCGCGAACTATATCCACGAAGAAGGGAAAAGCGGCATCAATCTCATCCTCAATGCTCTCAAGTATGTCATCGCCATATTCTACTTCGCCGACTGGCCAACTAACAAACTCTAGTTCCAAAGCTGGTTCGCTCATTCTGACTGGCTCGACCACTCCCATTCAAGACCAACCGTTTGAAATCCGCGAGAAGATCTTTTCTGCTTGGGAAACTTCCCGAATCAAGCCTCTTCGTGCCATCTATAGGGCGTTCACGGCCATGTTTAAGAAGACTTGGGCCACGGCGAGCCCGACTATCCGGTCAGTCGTTGGCTGCCCTCGCGTTCCCATCCACGGCAAACCTGCGGATGGATTCGAATACGAGTTCCTGCAATTTCCACCTGGCGACGAACCTGAAACCATAGACACAGATGTTGTGATAGTAGGGAGCGGTTGCGGTGGTAGTGTCGCCGCCAAAACCCTGGCCGAGGCTGGATACAGAGTATTAGTCGTGGAGAAATCCTACAACTACCCATCCAAGTACTTCCCCATGAATTTCAACGAGGGCTTTGTCAGCATGTTCGAGAACGGAGGAGCGACGACGAGTGACGGCGGGTCGATTGCCGTCCTCGCTGGTTCCACATGGGGCGGAGGTGGCACTGTCAACTGGTCGGCTTCGCTGCAGACACAGGGCTATGTGCGCCGGGAATGGGCAAGCAAAGGGCTGCCGTTTTTCGAGACGTATGAATACCAGCAAGCCTTGGACCGTGTCTGCGATCGGATGGGTGTCAGTAATGACCACACCGAGCATAACTATGGCAATCGTGTTCTCCTTGACGGGGCTCGGAAGTTGGGATATGCTGCCAAGCCTGTCCCTCAGAACACAGGCGGATCGAGTCACTATTGCGGATACTGCACGATGGGCTGCCATTCCTGTGGCAAAAAGGGGCCCAGGGAAACGTTCTTGGCCGACGCTGCCAAAGCGGGCGCCATGTTCATTGAAGGGTTTCGCGCGGATAAGATTCGTTTCAAGATGACCAAGGGCGGACGGGTGGCGTCTGGAGTTGAGGGAACCTGGACCTCCAGGGACTCTTATCTGGGAACCGCTGGACCGGACCGCACGAGCCGCAAGGTGGTCATAAACGCTGCTAAAGTCATCGTTGCCTGTGGAACATTGCACAGCCCGCTCTTGCTGCTGCGTAGCGGACTCAAGAACCCACAAATCGGGCGTAACCTCTACCTCCATCCTGGTGAGTCGTGAATCGATATGACCCGCCTCCGAGACTTTCGCTAACAACTATAGTTGTCCTGTCATGTGCTGTCTTTGATGAGGAAATCCGTCCGTGGGAAGGTTCCGCTTTGACCACAGTCGTCAATGAGTTTGAAGATCAGGACAGCCAGGGTCACGGAGTCAAGATCGAGAACGTCGTAATGCTTCCTGCCTTTTATCTTCCGACGTTCCCGTGGAGAGACGGATTGGATTACAAGCTCTGGGCGGCCAAGTTGCCCCGCATGAGCGGCTTCATCGCTCTGACCAAAGAACGAGACGCGGGCCGAGTATATCCTGACCCTGTAGATGGCCGTGTCCGGATTGACTATACAGTGTCGGCCTATGACCGGAGGCACATTGTCGAAGCCCTGATTGCGACGGCAAAGATAGCATACATATCCGGGGCAAGAGAGTTCCATACCTCGAACCGCGAAATGCCGCCATTCATCCGTTCCACGGAGGCATCGGATCCCAATGCGCCCGAGGGCGTCACCAACCCGGCACTTCAGGCGTGGATTGCCGACCTCCGGCGCAAGAACCCTGTCGACCCCGAACGCACACAGTACGCCAGTGCCCATCAGATGGGTACCTGTCGCATGGGGTCGTCCCCCAGGACGAGCGTCGTCGGCCCGGACTGTCAAGTCTGGGGCACCCAGGGTCTGTACGTCATGGATGCGTCTGTCTTTCCCAGTGCTAGCGGAGTGAACCCGATGGTGACAAACATGGCGATTGCGGACTGGGCCAGCCGAAAAGTGGCCAGGTCTTTGGAAGAGGCGAACTACGGCAAGAGTGTGTTGGCTCGTCTATGATACCTACGGACTGCCTCCTAAGCATATCAGCATATAACTCTGGTTAATCCCTATGATATCCATAGCTGTTCAGTATTAATGTAGGCAATTTATTTTTCCTCATAATCAGCATCCACGTAGTAGATGCTCATTGGACGTGTTGGGCAAAAAATCAATTGCTTGGATAGATGCTATTTGGTATCATGCTATGCTAAAGTATGCCAATCTAAGCCTTGGGGATCTCACGCTTTTCGATGAACGTCTTCTCACCAAAGGCCTGCTTGACACCCTCGCTCTCCATGGTCTTCTCGTACCAAGAGACGACGAAGGGGTACTTCTGGCGCATCTCGCGGTCAATAATAAGGGAGAAGGCCCAGTAGAGAGCAGCTGCAACGGAGATATCCGCCAGACTCAGCTTCTCCTCGGTAGAAATCCAGTTGCGGCCTCTAAGGTGGCCCTCCAAGTATGCCAACGACCGCTCCAACCTCTCCAGGTTCTTCTTCTCAACACCCTCATCATACGTCGCGTAACCAATCCGAGGCAGAACCAGGGGAATCACAGGACTCTGGATCTCCCCATCGGCAAAAGCAATCCACTGGCGGATAGCGGCACGCTCAACAGGCTTGGTACCAAGCAGCTGTGCCGAGGCGGGACCACTCTCGGCGACGTACTGCGCGATAGCGTCTGATTCAACGAGCTTGGTGCCGTCTGTGCCTTCGAAGGCGGGGAGTTTGCCGAAGGGGAATTTGGCGAGGAATTCGGGGGTGCGGTTGTCGGTGCCAAAGTTGAAGGCGGGGGTTGAGATGGTGAGGTTGTTGATGTTGGCGGCGGCGAGGATCTGGAGGCCATCAGTACCTAATATTAACTCTCGGGGAGAGGGGGGTGAGGGGGTACGTACCTTCATGACCCTCGGGTTGTTGGGGTAGGAGTAGACTGTTCCGAAAGACATTTTGGTGGATGTGTTGGAGGAATTGATTTCGTTAGGTTGTTAGGAGGTTAAGAAGTAGATGGTATGTTCTTTCGATGCTGTCAATTGCTACAGGGCGTCATTGTGTCTGACTGTGTTCATATACCTCTCTCTTACTGCGTGCATTTCCAATGATGACAAATGGAGATTATGGAGCACAGGGAGCTACCAAGTGGGGTGGAAAGACATCGAAACGCGGAATCGCCGTTTAGAATAGTTGAACGGCGAACTTGATGGAGAGTATTGCTGATCCATATGGATGGGTTGTTTTCGTCTTTTTTAGAAGTGACGGGATAGAATCATGGAATGATACTTAGGATATATACCGTATATTGCCACCGAATTTAAGCTTAGATCCTTAAGATTCCTGGCGTCAGGGGCCGAGCGAGGAGGTCCTATCGGATGTGATGGGGATGGACTAGCGGATGGCGACATTGCGAAGAGTTATGAGCAAGCGCAACGTCTCGATAGATATAGGTACTCTGAGTAGATATCTGGTTGTTATTGGGTCTTTACCATGGATGCCGTTATGATAAGATTTATTTGAGGAAAATGAACCCCGCATTCTGATTCTATCAGTCTCCTGATCTCCTCCTCCTGGGCACCAGAATGCGCTCTCGCATCGAGCCACCTTCTGTCTGACAATTACAGGTTGATCATAATAATATAATGTGAGGAGACAATGAGACCATGCAGGGCAATGCAGGGACAAAAACGACTCTCCTCTGTCTCCCTCCCGAACTCCACCTCCTCATCGGCACCTACCTCTCATTCCCCGACATCGTCTACTTTCGCATAACCTGCGCATATTTATACTCTCTCCTCCCATCCCTCACTCACGCGCAACTTCTCCTAGCCGAAACCACCGAGTTCGCTTTATCTAAGGACATCTACGCATGCCGGTACTGCCTGCGTCTGCGCCCCGCATCGCGCTTTGCGGATCGGATGCGCAGACGCAGACGGGGCAAGTTCGGTCGGGACGCGGAGAAGCGGTTTTGTGTCGAGTGCGGGCTGCAGCCGAGGAAGGGGACGGATGGAGAGGCGAGGTATGGACCTGGGGCGCAGATGCGGATCGATGGGGTTCTGTATGTGATTTGTATAACTTGTCGGAGGTTTGGGCCGATGTATGCGGGTGGGATTTTGTGTCAAGAATGTGGGCTGAAGAGGGAGAGGGTGCGGCGGCGGGAAATATTACTAAAGGGGAGAGCTTTGGGTCTATACCCCGAGGCTACGGATGAAGGGTAACTTGGTCATCGTGCCATTTTCACGTCAACGTTATTGGTCTATCGCCTATCATCTAACAAGACGTGGATTAGTCCTGTCGAGCGGGATCCTGCCGGGGCTTGTTTCCCAGATACTCGTCGATCTGGGACATCACTTCTGGAGTGAGCTTCGCGAGCAGCTTAAGGCTTTCGACGTTGTCGACGATTTGCTCCGGTCGCGAGGCGCCCGTGATGACCGAGGACACGTTTTCATTCTTCAGACACCATGCCAGTGCCAGTTGCGACAGCTTGACTCCCAGTTTATCCGCCAGCTCCTGTGCCACGTTAGTGAGGTCCTAGAAGACGAGGAGGGATACTTGCCTTCAGACCGACGATCTTCTTGATAGTCGCCGCCCACTCGTCATTACCATAATTTTGCCGGACGCTGTTGGCGAAGCGGTCGTTGCTCTCGGCGAATCTCGAACCAGGGGGAGGCTGCTGCGTCGCATCGTTATATTTCCCGCTCAAAAGACCCATCTTCAGCGGGGAGAAAGTGGTCAGACCAATCCCGCAGCGCGAGTACAGCCGCTGGAACTCCCCCTCGACCTTTCGTCTATCCAACATGTTATAGAGCGGCTGCTCGACGATGGGCGCGATGAGACCTAGCGACCGGGCGATGCCGCAGGCCTCGGCGATCTCGTCTGCCGACCACTCGGACGTACCCCAGTAGAAAGCCCAGCCCTTCTCGATCACATGGTTGAAAGCGCGCACCGTCTCCTCCATCGGCGTCAGACGGTCCGGTCGGTGAGCATAGATGATGTCGACGTATTCGAGCTGAAGCCGTTCCAATGACGCCCGGGTGCCTTCGATGATGTGTTTGCGCGATAGACCGTGGTTGTTGATTAAGATTTCACCGTTTGCCATGCCCCAGTTGAGCTACATCTGTCAGCCTGGGTTATTCACAGTTGGTCGAGGACGAACCTTTGTGCTGATGACCAGGTCGCTTCGCTTCCACCCAAATTTCTTGATGGCTTGTCCCATGACGACTTCAGATTGTCCGTTTGCATAGCTGCTTCGTCAGCTTGGATCATTCTACAGGAGTAAAGGACATACCTTTCTGCCGTGTCGAAAAAGTTGACTCCACAGTCATACGCTTGTTTCATGCAGTTGAAGGTGACCTCTGGATAGTCTCAGTCTCATCGCCACACTTGCGTTCAAACACCGGGGCCATTACCGTTATCGACATGACCACCGAAGCTGTCAAGCGCATGTTAGAAAATGCTATATACTTGAAGCCAGAAAGAAGCCAGAACAAACTCACGTTAACCACCCTCCCAATCCAATGACGGAGACATGTAGACCTGAGTTGCCTACTCGTCGGTAGAGCATGTCTTTGTTTTTGTTGGGCCACGCCATGACTGGAAAATAGTCGATTGACTCCTGAAGAATTCTTGTATGCTGCTGAACTGATATGAAGGAAGACGGGGATCCGAGCTAATTTATCTTCTTTGCTGGCAGCTTCGGTCCTCTATCGCAAGTCGCAAGTCGCAAAACGCCAACACAGTAAGCGGATCGGGGACCTTAAAAGGAAATTGGTCATTGTATTGTTTGTAAAGTGGGATGACCCCAGGCTCATGATGTTTGCCTTTTGCCAATATAGCCGGCACCAATCATGGCTGTAGGTGTTTACAGGCGCGGGGGTGGTGCGGAGTAGGAAGCGTTCTCGGAGTAATACTCGGAGGTTCCTTTTCATCTTGGGTTAGTGCTGAAGACGGTGAAAGTGATCCACGGGACTATGGAACGTGTCCAGATGATGGAAGGACTTAGGGAGTATCATAGATAGTCTGCATGTTAGAATAGTGATATGATGGCAGTGCCCTAGTCTTGAGAGATTGAATAGCATGAAGAATTTGGACATTCGAGTACAGAGTAGCTCCTTGAGCTGAGGACTGAGGCATAAATATATCAGGTGACTGGTAGAAGCGTTTCATCTCTACTGCCTCACACTCCCTTGGGCTTTACCGCACTCAAACTGTCAACACGGCTTCGTACCTCAGCTACATCCTTCCTGCTTCTAATCACTCCCTTAAATACCCAGTTCCCTTATGCTTCATCTAGAACATGATACTCTCTGCGTTCTAGCAGGAAATTGCGTCGGCCTTTTGATGCCCGGTTCACGGCCCAGACAGAAAGTCAACACCATGCTTCTCTAGTGGGCCTAGCTAGCTATGGCGTGCCGCGTGGGGAAAGTAACGCAACTTTGGGCTTGTAGCATGCAAGATCTCGGACCATAATGACAAGCTTTGTCCCATGATGACTTTCGAAGAAATATTATGGATTTGTCCAGGGCACATTTGAAAACTTCAACAAACAATACTTTGTTACAGCTGGTCTTGCACTCAATTATTCTACCAAGTCTGTTTAACGTACCTTGGGACGTTGGCCGTTGAGTTCATCCTTCGGCTTGGCTACCCCGCAGTCTACAAGGAGATCAGTGTGTGCTCTTGTACTCATCTGGATTCCATCAAGGTCTAGGATCAACCAACAGTCAACGTTTTCCCGAAACGTGGTCGACAGTGGTCATAGTTGCTCGTCTCATGAACATGTAGACCGGCCGATGGTCATGATGCCTTGAGTATCTACCAACATGCCAGCTTCACGATCGAACGTGACTAAACGTGCCTGTGACGGATGCAAGATTCGCAAAATCCGTTGTGGAGGCGGCCAGCCATGCCAGGCCTGCACCAATTCGCGCATCAAATGCACTTATATTCGCGTTCAGCAGCCTCGAGGTCCGCAGCGTTTGCGCTCGACGACAAAGTACCTCATTGAGCAGACGCAGCGTGGACTGGACGCTCAAAATGGCGGATGGGCCTCCGTTCCAGTCGAACAGGCTGGCCGTCAAGGTCATCAAACAGAGAGGTATGTACGGGAACATCGGCTCTCATAATTTGGAACCTTATCTGACTGAACAGATTGCGAATACCGACCAACATCCTTACTCCGCCGCTCTACGTATACCACATGCGCATGTATCCAGTTTGGCCCATCGTCAATGTCGAAAGCGTCATCTCGGTACTACAAGAAGATACAGAACGGAGGAATCTGTCGACGTACATCTTGGCGACAGCCATCGCAGCAGCAACGCTGGCTCAACTCAAGCTCGAAGATTTGACTACCAGCGACTCACCCACCGCAGACGCATTCGCAGCCGAGTGCCGACACGCCCGTGATTCGTATGGATATAAATCAAAACCAAGCTTGGACAACATCCGGACATCGTTCTTTCTACATGTATACTATGAAAACCAACAATCCGGAGGAAGCGAGTCGTTGCTTTATTTAAGGGAAGCCATTACCATGGCGCAAATGATGCGCCTACATCAGGAGGCTTCCTACACCGGACTCAGTCCGGAGGAAGAGCAACTCCGCCGCCGCATCCTATGGCTGCTTTTCGTGACGGAACGGTAATCTTCCATCTACTCATAATCCATGCTATCCTGACATGGTGTGTAGGGGTGTTTGTATCCTCCACCAACTTCCGGTGATACTCAGAACTAACATCTCGACCCCTGGGCTTGACGTCAATGACGAGCCGCAAGTCTTACCCGCCTTCCTGAAACTGCTCAATCTATTCCGCCTTTTCGAAAAATCCAAGATGTTTGATGTGATAGAATGCGAGAGCGTCGGTACTCATGACCTAAGCGGAGCGGGACCGGATGGTCGATTTCTCAAACTGCTACAGGATGGACTGCAGGACGGGTCGGCACTGGTGGATCATATGTCGGACGTGCAGAAAGCAGACCTATGTGTCACACGGCATTGGATGCGTCTGATCCTGTGGAAAAACCTGTCAAGAAACAGAGCGACAAGCGCACATTCACCGACTTCGCTTTTCTCACCACTATTTCCAGTAATGGTCGCGAAGGAGCTCATGGCCATAGTAACTCAGTTACCAAGGCCGGCGATTGAGGCGCATGGCTTGGGAATGGTATGATTGCCCTTTTAGACAGGGGACGCCGCTGACGTATGTAGGAGCTGAAACTGTATGAAATTGCCAGTTCTCTGGCGGATGCGGTTACGAATATGGAAATGGTTCCATGGCCTCCTGTTTGGGACGTCGAAAGTCGTCCAAGTCAGATTTTGATCCGCTTACATGCCATTCTGTCAACGTTTCGCGGTGGGGGCAACAAGCAGTTGGTTGAATTGCTGTATAAGAAGATGGCCGAGGTGCAGTCGATTAGTGGACTCACATTGGGAGCGTCTCTCAGAGAGCCTGCTAGCAGGCGGCATTTTCAGCAGCCACCAGAATCATCAACGCTTAAAGATGCAATGACCGAAACTGCATTCCTCGACCAGTCGCCGGCCGAATCGAGTCCGGTGATGACAATGACGGGTTGGTTCAACTTTGGGCCTTCATACACATTGCAAGAAGGCGAAGACGCGCAGCCAGATCGTCCTGACGGCTGCATCTTACCTCACGATACGATCACTACGATAGCCTCGACATCTAACACTTCCTCCGACGCCTGGACCACGGAGTCCCTAGTCATCCCCGAAGACATCGGGGAGATGGCATCACTCTTCACCTCCTTGCCATCATGGACAACTCCTGAAGAGGAATTCCTCGAGCAGTGCTCAAGAGATGACATTCTCACATCATTTGAAACATCCTTACCCAATGAGGATATGAATTTCTGGCACGCACCAATAGTAGGAACTTGAACCGGGCATTTTGCTTGCTGAGCGTTGCTATATATCTGACATTATCCTGTACAACTACCGTCAATACTTGAAACGAAAATCTAATCGTTTGTTCCCGTCCTTCTCTCTCGCCTCCTGATCAGACTGGTACAAGACCTTCTCCTCGGCCGACATGGCGCTCCACTTCCTCTCCTTCTGCCGGTTAAGATAGCGCAGGAACTCGCGCTGGGCAACAAAGACGATAAGCGACAGCACACAGATGGATATAAGCACCTTGTTGCCCCTGTAGTAGTACGGTGAGTCATCCGCCCGATAGATTTCTGCTCAGTCAGCCTTGTTGAACGTACCAAAGACATAGTGGGACTAGGACTTACGAGACGAAATAACCGACCCAACCTGCACAATCACATTATACGTCGCCGCCGTGATCGCCCTCTTCTTCACATCAAACGTATTCTCCGAGATCCACGACGAGACAATCGGATGGAAATACGGATACCCCGAGATCATCGTCGTGATGGCAAACCTGCCCCAGTTATACCCATGCGCCGGAAGCGCCAGCAACGCCGCCAGCAGCGGCAACGACCACAGCTCGCCGATAAAGCAGTGGAACGTGCGCTCCTTGAAGAAATCGCTGCTCTTGGATAGCGCCAGCATGAGAATGATCTGCAGCGCGGCCGAGGGGATGGAGAGCATGTTTGCGTCGAATGTGGAGAAGCCGAGGCGTTTGAGGGTGAGTGACAGATATGCTTGCACGGGGGACTGCGGGATGTATGCGACCAGCCCGATCAGATATAATCCCCACATGGACTTGTCGCTCCAGGCGTTGAGGATGTCGGATAGGGTTGCGCGGTCGTGGATGTGCGTGAGACCTTTGGAGGGGTCATCGCGGAGGAGACGCTTCATTATTTGTTAGTATGAGTGCACTGCATTAGTGGATGTGAAGACTTACGTTGATCATGATGACTTCCTCGCGCTCGGTGTACCAGGACCGAGGGCAGAGGACGCTCTTGGTGTGCGTTGGTGACTGGGGAAGGTAGAAGAAGCTCTAGAGGTTTCGTTAGTCGCTGTCTTCCAATGGAACTCAATACAGTACATACAATGAACCCAATGACAAACGTCAACAATCCCTCAATAAGAAACAGCCAGAACCACCCCGTTCGGCCGTGGACACCGCGCATCTGTAGAATCCCCGCCGCCAGCAACGAGGAGATAATGCGTGCAACCTACATCCATCCATCCATCAGCATCGCAGCCATTCAATTCGCTGTAAGGAAACTTACATTAAGCGTGGACCAAAAGAAGGACAACCGCACGGACAACTCCCCCGTCTTATAGAAATAGGTCGCGAAGAGAATCGTCCCGGGGATGAAGCCTCCCTCGCAGGCGCCGATCAGCGCGCGCGTCACGTAGAATGCAGCGCGGGAGGTCATCCACGCTTGCGTCCAGGAGACTAGACTCCAGGCCATCATCATGCAGGGCAGGACGCGCTTGAAGCCGAAGCGTTTGGTGAGGAGCTGGACGGGGAATTCGGCGGCGAGGAAGCAGACGAGTTGGATTGTAGTGCCCTGTATCATCTTGTCAGCTGGTGTTATTCAGGTTCACGGGGAAATTGAGTAGGTACATTATTATAGTCATTTGTGGTCAGGTTCAGATCTTTGAGGAAGTTATCCGTCAATGCATTGGAGAGATTGCCGCGGTCGAGTTGGAGGCCGAAGAACTTCATCAATTAACACTTGTTATTGTATGAGGTGGAGTTGAAGGAAGGAGTACCATGAGACAAATCCAGGTCAACAACATCAGGTCCGTCTTGAAGACTACGCTGCGCTCCTCTTTTACGCTCCATGATGCCGTCGGGTCGAAGCGGTGGTATCCCTCGTAGGACTCGTGGGGCGGCGTCACGCCTGCGAGCTGGGACTGGCCCACGGCGACGGAGAGCTTGGAATGGGTGTCGTCTTCTTCTGTTTCTTCATCTTTGCGTTTGGACTGGGTGGTTGTTGCGACTTTGCCTTGTTCGATATCCTCCATTTTGGAGTGTTTAGGTGGTTGCTAGGGATGGAAATGGGGATCGGCATGGTGTTGGCTCTATATATATTTTTTCATACTACAGATATATTGATAGTTACTTACTTGGAGCTACTTTACTAGCTTGTCTGCTGAATGTAGAATCGAAAGCTAATCTGAGTTGAATATTCTCCTCTGCAAGGATGGTGACTGGCGAGCTAAAATGGCATAAAGAAGTCCTCCGAGCACATCATCGATAGGCTAATGCGTACAACCAACCAATGTCCTGGAATGGTGCCACTGGCCGTTATTCTCTTCAGGATTTCTGATCTTAATCGGCTTGTGTCCGATTGATTATTTCACAGTCATACTCTGTACCTAGAGATTGTTCGACAGTTCCCCAGACTCATCTGTCATGTCTACCTAGCCAAGGTACCTACTGGCTAAGGAGCAGGTGTCTTCCCCAGATTCTCCAGATCTTGTACCCCAGATGCGGTATCAGTAGCTTTCTACTCCGTTACAAAGAAAAGCGATGCTCACGATTCGCCTGGTACTACAGAGTATTCGACCAATAATTCGCTGAGCAGCCAAAGTTAGAGGGTGGTGGCACCGAGAATTTCGCCGATGCCCCGCCGAGAACAGCGCCGTCGCGTTCTCTTCTTCTGGATGGATTGGTGCCCCTCTTCAGTGCGGGGAATGAGATTAAGAGTGAGTAACAGTCTAGATTGGTTATTCGTGAGATTGCTAGGTCATGGTAGCCCGAGACCGAGTCAGTGGAGTAATGGTGCCATTTGATGGTTGTCGGGATTGCCTATAGTAGCTGATATATAGATTCAATTTCCCACGCAATGGACACCTTGACGATCACCTCAACTAATCTAATATTGACGTAGCAAACAAGAAATGCCATCTGTCGCAAAGTCCATCCGAGGAGGCCATGAACAGGCCAAGCCATCCATCTCCCAGCCGCTGGAGTACTCTGGCAGCCTGGACTCGTTCTCTCATCTGGACTTGACTCCGGTTATTGGAAGAGAGTACACCGGCCTGCAAGTGGTTGATATTTTGTCATCCCCAGAGTGCGACCGCTTGATTCGCGATCTCGCAGTCACCAGTACGTACTCTGATACTTGCTGCATCGACAAAGCTAACAGCACAGTCTCCCAACGGGGCGTCGTCTTCCTCCGTAACCAAGATGTCACACCGCAGCAGATGCGCGAGTTCATGGAGAAACTGACCGTCCTCGCCGGATGCGTAAGCAGCTTTATCCCTGTCCAAAACACCACACCCAGTTAACAAAATGCTACAGCCCGAATCCTCCGGGCTGCATGTCCACCCCCTCACCGAAGAAGGTAGCGAACTAGGCGACCAGATCAGCGTCATCAGCAGCGAGAAACAGAAGAAAGGAGGCGGCCTCACCCACCAGCTCAGCGACACCAGCCGCTTCGCCTCCGTCGGCTGGCACTCGGACATCAGCTTCGAGCATGTGCCTTCTGACTACGCCATGCTCAAGATTCACACCCTCCCGCCGACGGGCGGCGATACCCTCTGGGCGTCGGCGTACGAGGTCTACGATAGATTGTCGCCGGCGATGGCGACCTTCCTGGAGGGCCTGACGGCGACGCATGATGCGAGTTTCTTTCATGATGAGGCGAGGCGGTTGGGGAATCCGCTGCGGAAGGGGGTGAGGGGGTCACCGTTGAATGTGGGTGAGGAGTTGCAGGCTGTGCATCCGGTTATTCGGACGAATCGTACGTTTGTCCCTCTTGATTTGGTAGACTGCTGACTGACGGTGGTAGCTGTGACTGGGTGGAAATCGGTGTACGTCAACCGGGGATTCACCAAGAGGATCAACGGGGTGACCAAGGATGAGTCCGACGTGCTGTTACAGTATTTGTTTAATGTATGTTTTGCCTGCCGTTTGTTCATTTCGCATGAGTGCTCGAGAACTGACAAATCAGCTGGTGACGCAAAACCACGACGCGCAGGTGCGGTTCAAATGGAACAAGAATGACCTGGCCATTTGGGATAACCGGTCGACCTGGCACTGTGCCACGTACGACTATGCCGAGGCGCGTGCGGGAGACAGAGTGTGTAGTCTGGGTGAAGCGCCATACCTGGACCTTCAGTCCAAGTCGAGGAAGGAGGCCTTAAGAACTGACTGAATGTATGATATTATGATGCTATGATTAATGTGGTTTGCCTTATGCTTTCAAAGATCCTCTACAAAAACCTAGTTTGTACTACGAGCTAGGCATATGGCTCCGACAGCCGCATATAATTCCAGCACACTGAGTCTAAATTAGCACTGGTATTGACAGTATGCGAGAACATACCTTTGTACGCCATGTCATCCCCGAACATGGACGCCAGAATATCCTCGCCCTCCTTGACGCCGTCCGCCGGGTGATACGAGACAGCCGTCCTCCCCAGACATAGTCCGATCATGGGTGGAATCTCCTGCAATTCCCGAAACACCGGCTTCGAGGCGACGCACTCGGCAAGCATCAATTGGTGGGTATTATAACCCGCATAATGCCCCATGTGCATCGCCGCACCGCAGCGTTTGATGCCGGACCAGGCGACCAGGTCGCCGATGGCAAAGTGGTGGCTGGCATTTGGAATCGTCGACGGGAATTGCAGACTGAGCCATCAGTACTAGTCAACTGCAGCAGAAAGGAGGACGTACGATGGCCGAATCCTAACATAACCCTCCTCATCCAAGGCCTGCGGTGGCAGATACGACGAGGTAGGCGTGCACCGCGACACCGCGCTGAGGACATGACCCGCCTTGATGATACGACCATCCGCCAGCGTCAGACTCCAAACTCGCCCCGTCTTCTCTTCTATCGCGGTAGTATCGACGACGCGCTGCCCCAGGATGAGCTCAACGCCCGTCCCGCGAATGACGGTCCCCACGCGGTCCTTGAATTCGTCCGGCAGAGGCTCGGCGGAGAGAAGACGCTCACGCGAGTGTATCAGCGTAACATGCAGCTGGGGATACAGCAGCTTGATTTCCGTCGCCATTTCCGTTCCCACGGCGCCTGTCTCACATTAGCCTCATTTAATCTAATCGGGTGAGAACATACCTCCGCCAACAACCACTACCCCCTGCCGTGCATTCACCACATCTGCAGTATTCTTCCCCACCTCAGCCAGGAACTCCTCCCGCGTTCGACTCTGCGGAACAGTCGGAAACACTCTCCGCAACCCCGTCCCCGCAATGAAAAAGTCGTACCCTTCCTCCCTGCTCGTCCCCCTCACCGAGTCTAATATCGTAGCTGTCTTACTCTTGCAATCGACAGCGGTAACACTCCCCCGGATAAAGCGCACATGGGGGCACTGGAGAGCCTTGATATTCGAGAAACGCGTCCAGGTATCCGAGGCGAATTGCTCGTCGACAAGTGCTCGGGGGGATCCGATAAGATGATCTAACTTGTTAGTTTAACTAGGTTTGCGGTTAGGGCAAATGCGTACAGAATCCGTCTTTCTCGTCTACCAGGGTGATGTCTACTGGGATATGGTGCTGTGGTGGTTTGATCTCCGCGTCGTAGTTGAAGCGGGAGGGTTGGCCTCGGGAGAGATCGAGGAGGGTGAGGGCTGCGCCGAGGCCTCCATATGAGGCGCCTGCGATGAGGACGCGGAAGCGACGAGTGAGGGAGATGAGGTGTTCGTTTGATGGCATGTTTTCTGCGAGAGCAGCGACCGGTTGAAAAGAGATGGTGCGTGTAGGTAGGTAAACAAGGCTTTGATTGGGCCTGGGTAAAGCGACTACAATGATATAGCGTCAACGGGGAGCGGAAAGATCTGTATTCAGGAGGATGATAATTTGTTGTCTCAGTTGACAGGTGTTTGGACTTTGAATGATTACTTTTTCAGAGCACGTCTATTCTTACTTCATTCGTGCATTTTCATCTTTTTACTCCGTACGGCTCACGCCATCATGGTCAGGCGAGCCGGTTGCTGTACAACACCAGGGCTGCAACGCAACACCCCACTTTCCGGCCATTCCTTATCAGATGAGCAAAATTGTCCGCGCAGCCAAGGCTGGCCAGGGATACTGTTACGCAATCGTAGCCGCAAAAGGAGAGAGTGTGTGAAAAAGTATCGTGGGAGCGTATGCTTCAGGATTGTTATCTGATCCGAATCATCAAAGTTATCTGATCGAGGCCGTGCCACGCCACACTTGATCTGGAAATGAGACAGGTCCAAGACCAGTTTTGCAAATGGAGACAGTACTGCGCATCCTGATGATCTCTGCATTGTTGAAATGCGGCATTTATCTGCAACTCCACTCTGAGATCATTCCTGATTCGTCCTGAAGTTCTCAATCAAAGTCCTCCGAATCCGACGCTTCGAGTCCGACGTCGCACTGCGATAGACTAAGTGGGGATATCATGTTTCTCTTATCAATCAGTGATGGGATACACGGTGGGCATGGTCAGAGTACGGTTGAAAAATACAGTCACACTGGAGTGCAAATGTTAGCCTCGTTTGAGAATTGTCTGCTCATCCGAGGTAAGGGCCAAACCAAACAAGTGTCCTGCGTGTCCTATACGCCAAGGTACCGAGCGAGTCAATCTCCAAGGGCTAAATTTTTGAAAGAATTCCTTGGCTAATTTCCCGGCATTTGTGGGCATCTGTAGACGACCCACGGAGCCGAATATCGGCTGGACCTGCGCATTACATTCTTCCGATTTTTACAGTAAGTGTAGAGGAAAGTTCAAAGGGCAATATTAGCATTATCAAATGAATTATGGAAATGTCTCATTTCCGATATTCCGGCAGGATTTGGCAGTTTGGCCCTGAATGATTTTGTTTACTTTTCTTCATCAGATTAGATGACCATCTAATCTGATTGTGCGGTGGGGCATTTCCCCTTTGGTTTCTACTGCTCACCCGCTTCTACCCGGAAAATTTTCTATAATTCCCTCAAACTTGTAAAAAAGAGATGAAGAGGGAAAGGCAAGAAGAGTCTATTAGTATATACATTCAGCCATAATGTGAAACAAGTCTATTTTTCCTTTATTGCTGCCAACCGTCTCTCCAAAACACCCGCCGCAATCTTGCGTAAATCCATCTTGCGAACCTTGCCGCTGCCCGTCACAGGAATTGTGCGGTCGACCCCCTCCTCGCCAAACACAAAGAAATACTGCGGCGCCTTGTGCCGACCCAGAGTTTCCCGCGTCCAAGCGCGGAGCTCCTCGTCCGATGGTCTCGCGCTCACGTCAGCAGCCAGCGCAAGGAAGGCCCCCACGACCTCACCGTATTTCTGGTCCGGGATGCCGATTACGGAGGCTACCTCGATGGCTGGGTGTGCGGCTAGTCGCTCTTCGATTTCGAGGGGGTAGATGTTTTCTCCGCCTGTGTGGGTTAGACTAGATTTTTGTTGCAGTAGGAGAGGAAAAGTGGATACCTCTGATAATGATGTCTTTGAATCTTCCGGTTATGGTGCAGTAACCCTCCTCATTGAAGATGGCTTCATCCCCTGTCTTGAGCCAGGTTACACCGCCCGAGTCGGTGATTAGCGCCTCGGCCGTCTTCTCGGGGTTGTTCCAGTACCCCTTTGTCAATTGGTATCCGGCAATGCAGAGCTCGCCGCGCTGGCCGACGGGGACGATGTGGCCCTGTGTGTCGATGATCTTGGCTTTGGCGTGGGGCATGACTTTTCCGACGGTTGTAAGGCGGCGTTCGATGCTGTCGGTGGTTAGGGCGTTGAAACAGGTGGGTGAGGCTTCGGTGAGGCCTGTAGTCGTCAGCACTGTTCTAGATCAGGACACAGAGATTGGAATACCGTAGCTGCTGGTATACTCGGTCATATTCAACTCCTCAAGCAGCCGCTTCATGAGCGGCCGGGGAACAGGTGCACCGGCGATGATTCCCGTCCGTAGATTCGAACAATCAAAGTTTGGGGGCTTGGGTAGACTCAGAATGGCCTCGAACATGGTCGGTACGCCGTGCAGGGCGGTACATTTCTCGTCCGAGATGGCGCGCAGCACGGCAGTCGGATCGAACGTCTCACTGGGGAAGATGATCTTTGACCCGTGGGTGACGACAGCGAGCATGCCCAGCACGAGGCCGAAACAGTGGAAGAGTGGCGGTGGGCAGCATAGTGTGTCGAACGAGGTGAGGTTCATTCGGTCGCCGATGAAGCGGGAATTATTAACTAGATTGCTATGGCTAGTTAGCTAGTGTTACAGCCCTGCTGTATGGACGTACTGATGCGTCAACATGGCGGCCTTGGGATTGCCCGTCGATCCGCTGGTGAACTGCAGGTTGCAGACATCCGCAGGACGGAGCTCCGCTTCTCGGTCCTGTAGTATATGACCGGGAAGTGGTAGACCGCGCTGGATAACATTTTCATAAGTGCTGAATCCCTTGTATTCCCCTCGCAAAATGATAATTTCCTCCAACGCCGACGAGGTTCCCTGCTCCTTTGGACGGGGCCCTAACTTGGCCAGTACCTCCTCGAGCGAATGGCGGCCGATGTGTGGAGTCAGGAACAGGAGTCGACAATCTGCAGAACATGCCAAGTTAATTCTGTAAAGATCATCAGCAACGCTGCAGCTAGTACATACCCGTATGCCCGAGAGCATAGTACAGCTCGGATGGAGTATAAGTATTGTTCAACACCACCAGAATCGCCCCGACACGCGCAGCGGCAAAGAAAATCGAGATGTACTGCTCGCAATTACCCGCCATAATTCCTATCCGATCGCCCTTTTGGATTCCCATGGCTAGCAGGCCGCGAGCCACCCGGTCCGCTTCATCCTTGAGATCGGCGTAGGTCCAGCGCGCGCCAGTCCAAGGGAAAACGAGACACTCATAGTCGCCATATTGCAGGCTCTGAAGGGTGAGAAGCTCGCCGAGGGTAATGTCTAGTAGTTCCGGTTGGGTTGGACCTTCGACGATCGACAGCAGTTGGGGAGCCTTTGGCGGCTCAAGGTGCGAAAGAGTTTGTTGTAACCGTCGTACAGTTGCCATTATTTTGGTTTGTATGTCGATCACAGTGTACAAAGGTTGATCCTCAGATACGGAACGGACCAGAGGAAATTCGTCTTATATTACTAGTGCTGCCTTCCAATGAGGATGTCGCCTCGGATAATACATCTCGACTCGGCTGTCGCTTTCTCCGTCTCGGGTCTCGGTACTTGATGAAGAAGGCGTGTTCATAAGCATTGCAGACTGACCCAGATCCTCGTGGCGTGTTCCTGAGCCCATTAACATGTTTTACTGACACATTTGTCTGGAATGATGGAGCTGGGGAGGACTCGGATCCATGTGGCTCTCTTGACAAGGCTCCACTGTACAGCCGTTAGCCAATCTGCAACGGGAATCCTCTCACGGCCTTATGCCTCGCTTATCAGATTTTTCGCGTAAAGTCTTGGCATGGAGAGAGTATCGAATCAGCCAGACAGAGAGAATTTTGTGGGCTTACATTTGATCAGATAACGCTCCGGATATAGCTACAAGTTACCGAGTGTGCCGAATTTATCCTGGAAACTTACATGGATATCGGTCAAATACGACAATGATACTCACGAAGATGATTCCGTGATACCATTCAAATGTACTTATTGATATTGATCCATCTGTCAGGTTAGATGGAGCTGACTCTACTCAATCGAAGGTGAACTTGATGCAGCTTTGCAGTCAGCAGCGAGACCATACATTTTCGTTGAACTTATATTTCAACGCACTGGTGGTCTACCGATCGTGAAGAACCCAGAAATACATGGATTTGTCTCCAAGTTAGGAACCATGTTCTCACTTATCTCGGCGCTTGGCTAGGTTTTCTCTCGGAGGTAGGATGTACCATGTTTCGGTTGCTGTTTCCTTCTGGGATGTCCCACCCCACCAATAGGCCAAAAATGAAAGAAAACTGGGTAAAACTCAATTTGTTGTATTGAAGTAGTTATGGAGAGGACATGTTCAGGTATTTCATAGCTATGGTTAAAGTGGGTAGCGGCGAGTGCGCCAGAATATGTCCAAATATATAGCCCTGCAATGAGGGACAACCACTAATCTAATTGAAGACTTCGTTCAAGAAAAATAATATATGAGCTGGTGGTATTAATGACAGTCGTTCTGGCTATTATAAATTAACAGAAACCCATTAGAAAATATCATAATACCTGAGATCTCAGAAACACGCAAAAAATTAGTGGTGTGTTTTGCAAACTGAAGTGTGACTAGCCCTGTATCAATCTAATCAGATGATCTAATCAGATAATGATCCCGACAACGGGCGCAATCGGAGGCTGGCCTGAGAAACGAGGTGCTTTTTGTTCCTTGACGCGTCTTGGCGCGTGTCATTCCTTGGTCGGCACGGTGCTCATCAGCTGATCTCTGCCCAACATGGCTAATGGTATCCATTTCTGGCTGCCCTCCTGCACATTCTCGTCGTCATTCCTGTTAGTCACCATCGGGGACTTTCTTAGCTGCTGCAGTGTCCCCACATGCTCCCAATAGTACCCAATGAGATTACTGTGACCCCTCGGTGGTCCACTCGAAGATTACCGGCGAGGGGCAGTTCTGGCACAGTTCTTGCTCGGGAGGGGGAAAAAAAGTAGTTCTGAAGTGTTGATCTTCATGAAATGTTTTCTTTTTCCAGGTGTTCAAAAACCTGCGCATGCCGCTGTCCTTCAGAAATCCACACCACACTCCAGTGTGCGACTGATTTTA